TCAAGGAGCATGCCCATGGTAGTATTTAAACTCTACCTTTCAAACTCACAGACCAGATCATTAAATGTCTATGGGTTGTATGCAAATATGTGGCACTAACTGTCATACTTTTTGGACCTCTTCTGATGGACTGTGTCATGGTTTTTATGCTACTTTGTTAAATAGTATTTCTACTAACATGCTTACAGTAACAATTTTTTCACGATAAGGCTTTCTTGCTCTGTATAGACTCAGCTCACCCTGCCTGAGTACACATTTTCATGTTTCAAGGCACAGAATGTTCTAATCTTATTTCTGAGACTTCTCATTATTTTTCAATATAGACATTGCATGATTTTATTTAGAAATTTTATTTCATTTTTTAAATAATGATTTCTCTTCAGCTTATTCCGAACTGTTTCATATTTCTTTTATATTGATATTAGATTGGTACAAAAATAACTGTGGTTTTACCATTACTTTTAATAGCAAAAACTGCAATTACTTTTGCACCACCCAGTAGAAATTTTAGCCTTTCTTTAGAGCAAAGAGTAAACAACAAATTGTTTATGATACCTTTCCGGGCAACTCAGAAGAAAAGTCATTTTACCAATACTTACTTCCATGTAAAAATATTTGAGCAATAATTATCACTAAATCATAAAATAATAAATAAGGTCCAATCTCAGGAGCATCATCAATTTTGATACTTACAGCACTTATTATACGTTACCTTGTATACTTGCAGCTCACCTACTAGACTTCATCAGCCTTGAGAAAGTAAAATTACATTTATGTTTTTTTTTCACTTTTTAAAAAATACACTTTAAGTTCTGGGGTACATGTGCAGAATGTTCAGGCTTGTTGCATAGGTATACACGTGCCATGGTGGTTTGCTGCATCCATCACCCTTCATCTACATTAGGTATTTCTCCTAATGCTATCCCTCCTCTAGCCCCTCACTCTTCTGCTATCCCTGATCTACCCACCTCCCCCTCAACAAGCCCCAGTGTGTGATATTCCCCTACCTCTCTCCATGTGTTCTCATTGTTCTCTACTTACTTATGAGTGAGAACATGTGGTGCTTGGTTTTCTATTCTTGTGTCAGTCTGCTGACAATGATGGTTTCCATCTTCATCCATGTCCCTGTAAAGGACAGGAAGTCATCCTTTTTTATGGTTGCATAGTATTCCATGGTGTATATGTGCCACATTTTCTTTATCCAATCTATCATTGATGAACACTGGGTTGGTTCCAAGTCTTTGCTTTTGTGAACAGTACACTCTAATTAAACTAAAGAGCTGTGCAGAAGCTCTTTAGTTTAATTATATCTCATTTGTCTATTTTGGCTTTTGTTGCCATTGCTTTTGGTGTTTTAGTCATGAAGTCCTTGCCCTGCCTATGTTCTGAATAGTAATGCCTAGGTTTTCTTCTAAGGTTTTTATGATATTAGTTCTTTCATTTAAATCTTTAATCCATCTGGAGTTAATTTTTATATAAGATGTAAGGAAGGTATCCAGTTTCAGCTTTCTGCATATGGCTAGCCAGTTTTCCCAACACTATTTATTGAATAGGGGATCCTTTCCTCATTGTTTTTGTCAGGTTTGTCAAAGATCAGATGGTTGTAGATGTGTGGCATTATTTCTGAGGCCTCTGTTCTGTACCATTGGTCTATATCTCTGTTTTGGTACCAGTAGCATGCTGTTTTGATTACTTGTAGTAATCAAAATTACTTGTAGCCTTGTATTAGTTTGAAGTCAGGTCGCATGATGCCTCCAGCTTTTTTTTTTTTTTTTTTCTTTTCTTAGAATTGTCTTGGCTATGTGAGCTCTTTTTTGGTTCCGCATGGAACTTAAGTTGTTTTTTTCCAATTCTGTGAAGAAAGTAAATGGTAGCTTGATGGGGATAGCGTTGAATGTATAAATTACTTTAGGTAGTATTTTTAATCTCCTAGTAGGTTTGCACATTCTGTATTTTTAAAAATTAAATTATTACAATTATTTTGTCACATTAGTTGACAAAAACAAAATGTTGAGAAAACTGAATATAAATAATAATTTAGGAATAAAATAAAAGAAAGTTACAAAAAAAGATTGATAAAAGGAGATGAAATAACTGCATGGATTCCATGACTAAGGGCCAGCGAGTAGACCTAAATAATCACTGAGTAATTCTTAATGCTCACATTACAAATTTAGTGTTTAGTACAAGGTCACTAAAAGGTGAATATAGAGTTGAAAATCTAAGTGAATGAATTACTCAGAATAACTAATTCTACTTAGGTGATTTTGTCTAGCATTAGAGCAATATATCAGAGCAGACCTGTGGTAATGTTACCAAAGTTGAAAATTATTTGATAAGCAATTGAATGTTATTTGTGTTTTGGAGAATTGAATTTGGATCTCTAAATAATTCAAGTAGGATAGAACACGGCAGTGAAGCAAAAATCAAATTCCAGTATATTTTGCACTATTATTTTGTTGCTATAAAACACACTCAGCTCTATGGCTCTATTATATTAATTCATTATGGCTAAGCTGCCATATTAAACCATCTATAGTTTTAAATAAGCAATTTAAAATGTGATATACAGAAACTAAAGTACTTTAATAGAAAGACCTATAAATCTACCAGTATTTAGGTGAAATAGATTCATTTTATAACATAACAAAAAAAAAGTGAATTAAGTGTTTGAGGATACCTATCATGGCCATTTTTTAAAAAAGTTAAAATTTAACCTTACTATTTTTATTAATATTTATTTATATTAAGTACATACGAAATAACAAAAAAACTGCAAAATCTTCTGTCTATAAATATAAACTGTGTAGCAACTGTAGATGATTAACACTTTGAAAATATCTGAATCTCAGTATTTATGTTACAAGTTAATTCTATTTCATTAGAAATTATTTTGTAAAAGTAAGGCTCTTGCAACTCATTGTAGTCATTTCAACATAATTCATTTTTAATGCATTCTGTTTGAAAATGCACCAGCATTTTTAATTCAAATCACATATCTAATTAACACCTCTTTAAAAGTGCAGCCAAAATAGAAACTAACCTTCATTCTTATATATACAAGGAGCCTGGCTCCTATTATACCTAAGTTTTGTTTTGGCACTATGTAATCTAGTCAACATTTCAAAGGTTATTAGCATACTTGATGCCAAAAGGTCATACACATTAGAAGTAATTGGCTTTTATAAATATTGCTCATTATGCAAATGCATTATTTACAAGCACCATTAGGCCAAAGTGGATGTAAGAACTTGAGTATTAGGTTCTCTGCATTCATTATGAGGCAAAATATTTGACAATAGATAAATTACAAGTTCATCTTAGATATTAGAATGTAATTTAGAATATGAAAAACTTCAGATGTTTGCTGGCTTAGAAGCCTTAAAACAGGACTGATTAGGAGACAGACATGACAATCAGTTGGTTGTGAATATCTGTTGAGAATACTCATTCTTAATGATCTATCATCAGCATATTGGTTACAAACTTTAGGAATTAATGAGACCATCTGAGAAGATAATATAAAGAGGCTGGAGAAGGCCTTCAGAATTAATTGCATATCTCTTAACATTTTTTAACCTGCATATTTTTGAAAATATATTTTAGCAACTCTGGACTTTTTCCTGAGATTTTTAATTTTTATTTAGTTGTTGTTGTTGGTTGGTTGGTTTTAATAACTTACTCAGACTAAATTTGCGGTATCTGCTTCTTTCCATGGTATGCAGCACTGATGCCTCTGCTTAATATATTTTTTAATATTTTTAATCATTTTTGGTTGGTTTTTCAGGAGGTTGTTGCAGTTTTTGCTTAACTTAGTGGTCATACAGTAAATGATCACATGTTGTCTTCAAACACCTCAAAGGCTTCTATCCCTTACTGGATCTTAGCATGGGTTGCAAGCACATTTCAAAGCTCAGTCATCTTCAAATCTACCCTGGCTTTTATTTTCTGCTAGGCCCTCTTGTATTTCTCTTGCACATATATGCAGACTCCTGGTAAGCCAGGGATATATAGAGAGATTAGCAATGCTTTCTGTAAGAGAGTGATCTTGGTGAGAAGCAAATGGGGAAAGTTAGAAAATTAACAGGAAAATCCTGTATATAAGAGAGCCATTTGCTTCTCACCAAGGTCGCTCTCTTACAGAAAGCATTACTAGGTTTTTCTTCTTCTACATCAGTTTATGTGCTCCTTTTCCACGAGCAAAGCTGCTGGCTTTCACAGCCAATGATACCCTTGGAGAACCACTTTTTGTCATTTAACAAAAGACCAAGGCAGAATATTGTGTTTAATGTGTTCTCAATTTTGGATTTTATAGTTGTCCAAGATGTGTACCAAGACCATTCTGACATTGAAGTAGATGTGAAAAAGAATTCCTGATCAAATTTAATTTTATGGAGAGTCTAGAGACAAACAGAAAACTCATTATGCTAAGGGAATATTCATATGTAAAGTGACAGGCTTTTGAAGTATAGTGGTAGCAATGGGAATGAAGTGTCTGTGATAAAATTTAAGAACATTACAAATAAGTGGTAAAGACGATTTTCATATTTTTAGCATGGAAGAAGGGTGGAACTATAAATCAAGAGAATCCAATGAAAACTTTGTTTCAGAGAAAGACATAAATTGCGCTTTGGACATATTGAGGTGGCAGGAGTAAGGACCTTCAAATGGTCAAGTCTAATAGGCACTTGAAAAATGAAGGTACTGAGGAAAAAGTAACAACTGGAGATAAGATTTGGAAATCATTCTCATAGGCATAACAATTTAATTTATTAGAGGGCATGAATTTTCTAAGATGATATATGTTACATCCTTAATATATGTGTGTGTGTGTGTGTGTGTGTGTGTGTATATATATATATATATAAATTATATATGTAATATATATACATAAATTTTATATATATATTTATATAAATTTTTACATATAAATTTATATATATAAATATATATATATATAAAAAAATATATATATATATATTTTTTTTGACAGTTTGCTTCGAACTTCATTTGAGAAAAACAGAAGATAAACGTATCAAAAGTACACAGGTGGGGGGGTCATGGCCAGTGGTGGCGGCACCGGTGGGCATTCAGGCAAAGGCTTTTACTTGGCTGCAGACTGGTCAGATTTCGCAGCTTCTGGGCCCCCAAGCTGGGCCCGCGACTCGAAGGTGACGGGGATAGTGATCTCGTTGGACTGCGTGGCTGGCTTGGGCATGGGGGCCTCCACGGTCAGCGTCCCCTCAGGGGACAGGGAGGAGGAGACCTGGGTGGGGTCCACGCCAGGGGGCAGCGTGTATTTCCTGGTGAAGCAGCGGGAGATGAATCCATGCTCATCCTGCCGCTCCTCGTGCTTGCCGGTGATCTCCACCACGCCATCCTTGGTCTTGACCGTCAGCTCCTCGGGGGCGAAGTGGTTGACGTCCAGGGACACGCCCCAGCTGTCCGCCGTGTGCCGGATCTCCGAGACCCCGCTGCTAAGTTGCCGGCTGAACGCGCGGCTGTAGGCGGGCGCGGCCACCGCGGGGCCCTCGACCGCGGCGGGGGGCAGGGGGCGCACGTAGCCCGGCCAGCTGCTGGTGCCGAACCACTGCGACCACTCCTCCGGCAGCCGGGGCATCCCGAAGGCCTGGTCGAAGAGACGGCTGTGCGGGTACCACACACAATTTTATATATATATATATATATATAATTGAGTTTTTAAAGATATATTGCCCCTCCTCACCCATATACAGATTATATTCTCTCTCTCCCCTCCCCCATATAAACAGGTATATCTAAAACTTTATAATACTTGAAATACAAATTGGAGATTATTATAAAGAGAGATATATTTGTTTACATGGGGGAGGAGAGAGAGTGAATATAGTTATATGCATCTATCTATTGATCGATTGATCTATCATCTATCTATGGAGAGAGAGAGAGAGATTGCAAAGTGTAAGGTAAGAGCAGTTATCTTATAATTACCTTACAAAAAAGGTTAGGGAAATCTGAAAAAAGTTCTCCCTGAAAGCAGGAGAGGAGGAAAAGTCCTCAACAAGGAAGGCAGAGAAAGAGTCGTCAAGAAAGTAGAAAGTAAACTAAAATAAAGTCCTTTAAGAACTAAACATGAGTAGGGATTCCAAACAGAAAGCCTGATGGTGTCAGATGCTGCCGAATTCCAGCAAGTGGGATGACTGAGATGAGGCTGTCCTTGGAGATTTTGCCTACATAACTTCCAGGCAACCTAAATATATGCTAGACAATAACTTTTAACAGAAAATGGAAATTATGTCTAATTAGATACCTTAAAGGCCTTAATTTACTACTGTTTTATTGTTTCAAAATAGGAAGAGATTAAAAAAAAATTTCCACTTCATCTATTCAGTATTCCTAGTAAGACAGTACTAAAATGATACAACAACCATATCCATAATTACTTCTCTAAAGTCGTATTCTAGTTTTTGATTATGGAACAGACTATTTTTAAAAGACTTTTTGAATATTGACCTCATGAAGTTATTGAACCTAGCACTTTCGTGCATTATGAAATTTATTTCTTATAATATGCCTCTAAACTTGAGATTGCATGAGAGGAATAAAATGACCACTTGCCAAAGTGATAGAGCCAGTGAGTAAAGGAGCTGGAACTTGAACCCACCTGTTAGAGTTGGTAATCACTTTGCTATGACATGCTCTTTAGGAGACAGGGATGTGAATGTCTGTGTGTACACACAAACTCAGAGCATGCATATAGAATTCCATCCCTTCTTACGTCTGATAACATGCTATATCCTTTCTACATCTTCTCTGTATTATTTCTCCTCTACTGAGCAATCTTTCTTATCTGTTATTTAACTTACATACTGCTGCCTTAATTATCTTTTAAAGTAATAATAGTAATAATCAATTCAAAACAATTACTCTGACTTATTTATGAGCTTAAATTCCTTAACTTTTTCTTTAGTATGATACCACATTTCTCCTTTTATCACATTTATTATTAATTTGCATTACTCCTTGTCCTGGCTTTTACTTCCACAAAATTCCATTTGCACTAGATTGCAAACCATTTAACAGAAAGAACCATGCTATTCAACTTAATGTCCCCACTCTCTCATATTTAAATAAAGTTCTTATAATATTCATTGGGTTTGCTGAAGTTTGTGAATGGCATGTATGTTTCATTGACTATCTCAGTACCTAGCACCTTTTCCTTTTGGATATTCAATAGATATTCATTGACTGTATAAAGGAATGTGTGTCTAAGTGAAGGGAAACTTCTTAATTATGTACTACGGGTGCATTGATAATCAGATTCATCTTGCAGTTTACCTCTCCTCACTCTTGATAAAGCAGCAGTGCTTCTTGATAAAGCAGAAAATCAACAGGTGCTTTTTTTTTTGCCAAGAAATCTCTCATTGAAATCCACTATGAATTAGAGCTTTGTAACAGGAAAAAGAAAGAAAAATGTCACCTATAAAACCTGTAATACCAAGCACCTGGATTCAGATCTAGTTTGGCTTTCAGTTTTGATGAAAATAGTTGAGGGTGGATAGGTGATAAAGACAATAGAAAGCTCAAAATAATACAATATCTTTGGTCAAATCAAAGTATATTTCGCGGAAAATATGAATGATTATCACTTAATTTTTAGACACCCACCTTGTCTCTAGAGTGTAGAATATGTGTGTGTGTGTGTGTGTGTGTTTGTGTGTGTGTGTGTGTATGTGTGAGTTTGTGTGTGTATAGTGGAGGGAGGTGTAAAAGATAACAGAACACTGTTTTTAAACTTTTACCATCACATACTTGTCCTTATAGAGAAATGTGTGGTAGTCTGGCAACACAAAGGTGCTAAGTAGGTCAGATTAAAGAAAAATTAGTCTGGAATTTATTTTCTCTTTATGATTGCTTTTGATAAAAAGAGCTTTTGATTACCCAAATTTTCACTTTATAATCAATTGTATTCGAGATGTATACATGGTCCAGAATAGTAAACTATTTTTAATACAGCTTTACACAATTCAAACTAATTGTGTAATTGCGAATTCACAATTTTTATTTCTATTCACCTAAAACTTTATAATACTTCAAATACAATCTGGAGATTATTATGAACACTGATTTTCTCTCCTTATAGCTAAATAATGGATTAAGTTGCCAATCACAAGTTAGTAAGATGATGATAAAATTATTGGTTATGTTCTAATATGAGGACAATAATATCACTATTAAATATTTTTGTTTGGCTGAGTGCTAATGGAATTGTTCATATCAACAGATGCTTAATCCATGTGCCATGAAAACTCTTATTGAAATCCACAAAGAAATTAGAACTTTGTAATAGATGTGTGGGGCTGGGGAGGATGGGTGGGAACACCTATAATACAAAGCATCAGGATCCAGATTTAGTTCGATTTCAGGTTTGATGAGTAGTTGGGAATGGATGAGTGAACAGAGACAATTAAAATGTTCAAAATACTGATTAAGTGTGTGCATGGTACTTGCTTTATTGAATAAATGCATAATTTTCTTTTTTTTCTTTTTGTAAAAATTTTACTTTAAGTTCTGGGATACAAGTGCAGAACGTGTAGGTTTGTTACATAGGTATATGTGTTCCATGGTGGTTTGCTGCACCTATCAATACATCATCTATGTTGTCAGCCCTGCATGCATTACCTATTTGTCATAATGCTCTTCCTCTCCTCTCTCCCCACTCACCAACTGGCCCTGACGTTTGTTGTTTCCCTCCCTGTGTCCATGTGTTCTCATTGTTCAACTCCCACTTAGGAGTGAGAACATGCGGTGTTTGGTTTTCTGTTTCTGTGTTAGTTTGCTGAGAATGATGGCTTCTAGCTTCATCCATGTTTCTGAAAAAGACATGATCTCATTCCTTGTTAAGGCTGGATAGTGTTCCATGGTGTATATGTACTATGTTTTCTTTATCCGGTCTAGCATTTATGGGCGTTTGGGTTGGTTCCATGTCTTTGATATTATAAATAGTGCTGCAATAAATATATGGATTCTTTGATTATGTTAATGTCAAGAAGAGCTTTCCCTAGGTTTTCTTCTAGGATATTTATAGTTTTAAGTTTTACATTTAAGACTTTAATCCATATTGAGTAGATTTTTGCATATGGTGAAAAAGATAAGATTTGAATTTTATTCTTCTGCATATGACTGTTCAATATTCTCAGTACCATTTATTGAAAAGGGTGTCCTTTCTGCAATGTATATTCCTGTCAACTTTGTCAAAGATCAGTTGGCTATGTGTGGCTTTATTACTGGAATATATTTAACCAAGAAGGTGAAAAATTTCTATGAGAGACACTACAAAACACTGATAAAAGAAAGTGTAGATGACACAAATAGAAAAAAACACATACTTATAGATTGAAAGAATATTGTTAATATAACCATACTGCCCAAAGGAATATAGAGATTAAAAATAATTCCTATAAGAATAATAATTTCATTTTTCACAGAATAAAAAATAATATCCTAAAATCCATATGGAAGTCAAAAATGCCGAAATAGCCAAAGTAATCCTAAGCAAAAATAAAAAAACATAGAGTCATCATATTTACCCAAACTCAAATTATACTGCAAGGCTATAGTAACAGGAACAGTATGATAGTGGTATAAAAACAGATCAACATGTTCACTTTAAGACACTAGAATAAAGTGTTGTATTGACGATAAGGTCAATAATTCGTATTTACATAATAAATCACATCATCTCATTTGACTGAACCTGTGAGTCAACAGCCCAGTGTTTAGATAAATAAATTTACTGACTCATAGATACTGTGACTTACTTATTAATACCATTTCTAAAAAGTGGAATTGGACCTCAAATTTAGAAGGAATATCATTACTTAAATCCATGCTTTCTCCTCTACAGCAGGGCTTCTCTCAGAAGTTTATCATCTGCCCTCTCACTTATTCCTTCACTAACACTGATGGAAGGTAGGATTGGTATTATTGCCTTCATGTCATATATGTGACAACTGATGCACAAAGAGAATCAATAATAAAGGTTAGTGGCAGGGCCAGAATTAGAATTCATTTGTATACACTCAAGCTATCTTTCAAAATCATAGCAATCTCATGCCAAATAAAATAACATACTTGAGTCACTGCATTTTTTTCTGAAGGCCATATGAGTTTTCAGGTAGATAATCTACCATTTCCTGAACATGTATTTAATAGAGTGATGCTAAGACTGAGGTTATTATTAACCTTTGATAAAGAGAATAAAGTAATGTATATTTCTTACCATGCGTGTTCATGTGTTTAAAACACACACTCAATGACTTCCAATAAGAATGATTTTTAAAATTCACATTACATGTTCATATGTGTGAGCCAACTGCTTATTCAAGGGCCCAGTATAAACAATCAGCCTCTATTTGGAACATGCAATTCTTATTTAAGAGGGGAAAGAGCAAGTCACCTTGTAAAAATAACGTTTGAAGCATCTGCTCAAACTTAGCAAATGTCCTATCTGCCCATTCCATTGGCCAAAGCAAGTCACATGGTCAAGCTCAGTGTCAATGAGGTAGGCATTTATACTTTTCCTACACTAGGAAATACAACTGTTGGGAATCATTGGGAATGTAATCCTCTCATAGGAAGGGAGTAAACAGTTATGAACAATAACAGCTACACATGGTG